GTGTTTCCAGAGAGACGAATGGAACTATGAACAGAACGGCAGTGAAAAATCAGATATGCATACAGCTATAAAGAAATGCCATCTACTTGCAATTAAATAATGAAATACTAAATTTAGAGAGTTTCAGAAAACATTAACTGAAACACGTAAGAAAAAAATTAATTCCAGATACAGATATTATCTACCTGAACTTCTGTTAGGCTTTCAACACAGTCCCACAATGGCATCCTTATCTCCAAATCGGAGAGATAGTGTTTTAAAGGGTAGACTATTCCATGGATAAGGAATTGTCTGGATGACTCATCCAGAGAGTTGTGATCAATGGCACTAGTTCCAGGTAGAGACCAATGATGAGTGGTGTCCCTCAGGCTCTGTTCTGGAACCAGTGCTCTCCATCAATAACATAGACAGAGGTATCGAGTTCTTCCTCAACAAGTTTGCAGATGACACAAAATTGAGCACTGCAGTTGACTCAACAGAAGGATGGGGTGCCATCCAGAGACCTGGACAAACTTGAGAAGGGAACCCAGGAAAATCTCAGAAAGTTTAACAAGTCCAAGTGCAAGGTAGTGCGCCTGGGTGTTATAGGTTTGAAAAAAGATGCTGGAGTTTTTCCCAGTATCAGTTACTGGATAGTGTGCATCTACAATCCAAGGCTCCCCCTCTTCCCGCTTTACCCCCCCATCCACTTTTTCTGGGGTAGAGGAAGACGGAAAGGGGGAAGGAGCGGGGTCGCACACAGAGCGGAATGGGAATGGGGGAGGCTTCTTTTTTTAAAACCAGCCAGTGCCACGCCTCAGACACACCCTTTTGTCTGTAGGATTTGCCGTCCACTGATTGACAGAGTGGCAGCCACCCTCAGTTTCGGCGGCCCCCTCTTTTCCCTGAGGAGAAGTTTGTTTTTCCCCCTGCACCTGGCACTACCATGGAGGAACGACTGGGAGAGCCCCTGACCATCTCGGATCGAGTTATTCTGCCCTGGGCCGTGGGGCTGCTTTATCAGAGCATCTTCCCGCAGAGCCTGTCTGACCCGAGGACTGCACCATAGCCCAGGGACTGGCGGGAAAAAAATACCCTTTCATTGTTGGCCGTGGAGCCACCATCGCTCATGTGGCTGTGAGCAGTTATTGAGCAGTTATTGAGAACTTACTGAGCCACTGGGGACAGCCCGCCCTTGGTCCCCCTGACTTGCCATGGGGACCCCTCCACCTTGGGAATTAGGACTTTGTTTTTGAAAGTTTTGGTCACACCATTGTTGTTTATTTGGGTTTCTTAATAAAGAGCTATTAATTTCCTTTTCCACTCCTTTCACCTGAAGCCTCTTAATTTCAAAGTTGTGATAACGTAGAGGGAGGACGTTTCCTACTCTTTTCTGCTCCGCCCGCCTTAACGGATATTTGTGTCTTGCTAAACTAAGGCACTGGGTCAGGGAAGCCCCAGACAAAAGTACAGACTGGGAGAGGCACACAGAGAAGAGACATGCCAAGAAGGACTTTGGGGTTCTGGTGGATGAACGAGGTCTTATAGAAAAGGTAGAGAATGATTTTTTAGATGGAAATACAGTGATTCGACACTAGGAAACAGTTTTAAACTAAAAAAAGAGGGATTTAGATTGGATATTAGGAAGAAATTTTTGACTGTAAAAGTGGTGAGGCACTGGAACCAGTTGCCCAGAGAAGCTGTGGTGGATGCCCCATCTCAGAAAGTATTCAAGGCCAGGTTGGATGAAGCTCTGAGCAACCTCCTCCAGTGAAAAGTGTCCCTACCCATGGTGGGGAGATTGAAGCTAGATGATTTTTAAGGTCTCTTCCAACCCAGATCATTCTATGATGATTCTATGAAAATCTTATATAATCAAAATAAATTTTTAAATGTTCTGCAAAGGGGCCAAGGCTTTACCTTTACTATCTGCTTTTGAACAACAGCAGAATCACAGAAGGAAATGTAAAATTATTTTGCAGTTTAGATGTGATTTAAGAGGGAAAATTAAGCTTTAGATATGAATGATTACTATAGAGATAACAAAAGGGAATATTTTGTATATTTAAAAGTTGTAAAGCTTATTTTTATAATGGAATTATATCCGTTACATGAAAGTTCATTTTACAATATCAGGGTGAAATTAAGGTAGTTTTGCCTGAGTATTTTTGTACCATCAATGGCACAGTGCCACATGGTAACCTTGTTCTTCAGATTTGCTCTCGGATGTAGCCTGGCATGCCAGCCGTGCTAAAGGGTGATGCTGTGGAAAGAATGTGGGGCCACAGGGTAACTGAGAGTGGAAGGAGTCCTGCAGGTCATCTGGCTCAGCCTCTTGCTTCAAGGAGCTCTGATTTCAAAGCCAGCTCACTTTGCTCAGGAATTTGTTCAGTCACACCTTGGCAATCCTCAAAGACAGAGATTGCACAACATTTCTCGGCAACCTCTCCTATCCTTAAACCACTCATACCGCAATATTTTTTTCCCCTATATCCAACTGGAATTTTACTTGCTTCAACTTGTGACTGTTGGCTCTTGTTCCTCCACTGTGTACTTGATCTGATACATCTCGTTTTTCTCTAATTATACACAAGGTCCACTTTTTAAGAATCCTGTGCCCTCAGAGATAAAGGAAATTTCTATATAGGATATCAGAAGTTTCATGTGGAAATACTTGTGGAAAATAATTAGCAAGAAGGCTGACTGCACAGAGGATGAGCAGCTGAAAGCAGAATAATGATGAAATGCTTCCCATCGGTTCTCAAAACAAATTCAGAGTATAGGTTTAGAGGTCACAAGTAGCAACTCTTTAACAATCACATGTTGAATACTCCACAGCTCTGAAACCAACATGAGAGAGCTTGTGGGAATTACCAGAGCCACCTGGGTTCCTGTTACTTTTGCTTGCATCGGTGAAGTATGACAGTAACACTGCAAACAAGTTAAGGTGCTTCTGCAGTGCAGGCTTGCAGATGCATGTGCAGGTGGAGTGGCTTAACTGCCCAGACAGCTCGGGTAGTGAATATTTTCATTATTTAATGAAAATACCCAACATCTTCAGAAGTTTTGTTCAGACAACCTCAGGTTATGCATGCTGGTATATTGTCTGTGGTAATTTTTTTCTTGTTGTTATCACTACCAGGGCCCCTTTTACCTGGAATTATACTTATCTGTGTGAAATGGAGGCTTGTTTTTGGAATCCACAAGCCCTCTCTTTTTCTACACACCAGCCCACAAGTGGTAGTTCTGTAGGAGGTAGGTAGAAGCATTGCACAAAATAGGAGACAGTTTCTAAAAATGTACTAAGACCACAGAATCACAGAATATAATGAGTTGGAAGGGACCCACAAGGATAATCAAGTCCAACTCCCTGCCCTGTGCAGGACTATCCTCAAAAGTCACTACATGGGCTTGAGAGTATCATCCAAATGCTTCTTGAACTCTCTTGGGCTTGGAGCTGTGACCACTTCCCTGAGAAGCCTGTTCCAGTGCCCAACAACCCTCTGGATGAAGAACCTTTTTCTTATAACCCACCTAAACCTTCCTTTGACTCAACTTCAGGTCATTCCCTCAGGTTCTATCCCTGGTTACCACAATGAAGAGATCAGTGCCTGCCCCTCCTGTTCCCCTCATGAGGAAGTTGTAGATTGCAATGAAGTTTCCCCTCAGTCTCTTCTCCAGGCTGAACACACCAAGTGACCTCAGCCACTCCTCAGACGGCTTCCCCTCAAGGCTCTTCACCATCCTTGTTGCCCTCCTTTGGACACTCTCTGAGAACTTGGTATCTTCCCCATATTGTGGTGCCCAAAACTGCACACAATATTCAAGATGAGGCTGCACCAGTGCAGTGCAGAGCAGAGTGGCACAATCCCTTCCCTCAACCAGCTGGTGATACTTTGCCTGATGCCCCCAGGACATGGTTGGCCCTCCTGGCTGCCAGGGCACTGCTGATTCACATTCAGCTTGCCATCGACCAGGACTCCCAGGTGCCTTTTCATGGCACTGCTTTCCATCATCTCATTCCATAGTCTATACAAACATACAGGGTTACCCCATCCCAGGTGTAGAATCCAGCACTTTGGCTTGTTGAACTTCATATGGTTGGTGATTGCCCAGTTCCCTGATTTGCTGAGGTCTCTCTGCAGGGCCTCTCTGCCTTCAAGGGAGTCAACAGCTCCTCCCAGTTTTGTGTCATCCGTAAAGTTGCTTAGTATCCCTTCCAGTCCTGTGTCCAAGTCATTTATGAAGATGCTGAAGAGCACAGGGCTTAGGATGAAGCCCTGTGGAACCCCACTAGTGACAGGTCACCAGTCTGATGTCTCCCCATTCACTATTAGGCTCTGTGGTCGACCCATAAGCCAGTTGCTCACCCACCACATGATGTGTTTATCCAGCTGTGTGTTAGACATTTTGTTCAGAAGGATCCTATGGGAGACAGTATCAAAAGCTTTATTGAAATCCAAAAAGATGGTATCATCTGGCTTCCCTTGATCAGCTAGGTGGGTTACCTTGTCATAGATGGAAATCAAGTTTGATAAACAGGACTTTCCTCTCATGAAGCCATGCTCACTGTGACCTTCTCCATGGCTGCAGATTTAGATACTTAGTTAGGATACAATTTGGCTGAAACCTCTTTATTTTGGTACCCTGTTGGATATACATATATATAGATATAGATATAGATACAGATATAGATATAAATATAGATATAGATAGTTGTAGTTATATAGGGTCTGCCATGCATATTTTTTGAAGCACAAACAAATAATACTTTCCAATACAATTTGAAAACTAAATCCTCCTATCAGATATGGGTCCAGAAGGTTTCCACTGCAAAATTTGATATCTTTATGACCTTCTTCCTTACTCTAGTTTGAAAGATGTATGCACATTTTCAAAATGTATTACAAAATAGGAAACTGTAAATTTTGTGTGTTACCTTCTGTATGTATATTCAAAATTGAAAACAGTTTGATGAGCAGATGTGACAAATTTCTCTTTTGTTTCCATTTCCCTTTTTCAGAATTCACATCAGGAAGTTGTCTGAGACTTTGGTTTTAAACATTTTTGCTGAAACTCATCTTTTAGAACTACAAGAAATTCATCACTTTAGTGCAAATTTTTAATTTTTTTTTTAATGTAGGTTCATAAAAATTAATGTTTGTTAGCAAAAATAAATTTCCAGGTGATTGAAAAAAGAGAACACTGATGTTTTTGTAGATGTAGTGAAAAACAAGAGGTCATTTCTGCAGCATTCCTAGTTTCATTTTAGTTTAAACAAAATCTCCCTAAATACAAGCAACTTAAAATTTAAAACCATTATGAGGTTTCAGAACATGAAAGCTATTTGCAACTTACTGTTATGCATTGATGTTTAGATGTCAATGGAATGGAAATACTTTCCTTCTGTCTTAACTTGATATTGTTTACTTACCAAAACAAGTTGCTGCTGAAACTTTTCCATCCAATACACATGTATGGGTGGACTGAGATTCTGGGGTCTTAAGGCAGAACTTTCAAGTCAAATTCCATCTTTGCTTTGCCCTGTTCTTTGCATTGTAATTTCTGTGCAACATCGAGTGGTAATCACTTTCCAAGTTTACAGAGGAGTGTTGTCGTTTGATTTTCATTGAGGCGTGGATGAGGATTAGCTATCTCTCTTTTGATGCCAACAGACTGCCAAAACATTATGCCAGGCAGGAATAAAAGTCACAGTTTTGGCAGTTACTAGATAAACATCCATAACCCATAGATAATACCACATTATTGGCATTGTGCATGTTGTACTGCCTACATCTCTCCAATGAGGAAATATAGTCTGATAACTATTTGAGAGCAGTTATTGTTATGAAGCAGAAAAAGAGTCTGACTGTGGAGGTAGCATAAAAACCATAAGACTGGAGTAAAAACTCTAGGAAACAGGGCAGTACAGCAGGCTCTGGAGAAGTATACCTGAGGACATCCTGGAGAAAGGAGTCACAGCCTGTGGGCAGCAGTTACGCAGTCAAAAGACAGCTGCTGTGAATGAGATTAATTGCAGCAATACTGTGCTGTTTGTGGGGCAGGTGGGCTGATATGTGCTATAACTCTGCCCCATGTTACGGCTTTTCAGATGAGGAAAAATCTGTTGTTTTGGGTAATCCTTCAGCTGCGTTTCCCCCTCCCTTCCTATTCCATTGTTCCATTGGTAAATTCTATTTTCATCATATCTAAGAAAAAAGTGCAATCTCTATCTCTTAAAAGCTATGGAAAGTCTAAACTTTCCTCTTAAAGGATAACAAGCAAACAATCTGAACAACAAGATCAAAGGAAATGTTTCTTGTCCTTCTGCCTAGGAAGAGAACCTTGAGTTTGTAAGCCATAGCAAATCACTGTAAGCAGTTGCAGGAATCTAAAGCTCATTGCCGATTGTTGCTCAAGATCAAAGGCTCCTTGTGTCCCCCTCTAAAAGCTGGTTTTGCAGCTTTTCTGTGAACAAAGAAACAAACAAACTGTGCATCCTTGATCTTGAAGAAGAGTCCAAAAAAAGTGAATGGTGCAATGATAACCAATCTGTTTTATGTCACAACAGAAGCTTTTCCTGAGGATGTGTCATGGAATGAAATTAAATGAAATTACAGAGAAATGGAAGATTACGAGGTAACCCCAAATCCAAACCTGAGTGTAAGTTGAATCCATTCAAATTTATCCGAGATGCAAAAGCAACTGCCCAAGGTTAGCTGTTAGACCTGGTTTGAATGTAATTAAAATTATCACTATATTTGCTGTCCCTCTAAAATCGATATAAGGGTGATTCCCAAATGAACTGCACTCTTCTGATGTGCAGGTAAAGCAATCAGAATACAACCCACAAAAGGCCGCTTAGCTGCTTACACAGAGTGTTTCAGCCTCTTGGTTTGTTGCTTGCAGCACTCCATGTCTCAGATCTCACTGACCCTGGCAGTATGTGTGAGGAAAGGCTGACTTGAGTACCCCATCTCTGGGAGGTGTCATGGGGCTGGCAGTGGCATGGCTTAGCTAGCTAACACCAATCTGCAAGGCGGTGTCCTTGTCACTGCATCACCAGCTCAGCTAGATCCATCAGGAGCCTGTCTCCAGGCAGCTGGTGAAACAGCATAATCGAATCCCTGTCTTCATCACAACTGATGAGGATGAGCCTTGAAATTGTGGGCAGTCTTCATGACATGTTCCTATTTCATCTCTCTGCAGAGCATCAGTCCACGCTTAAGCAGGGAGTTTCTCATGGGCTGGGATCACAGTGTATGATGTTGGGAAAAGTAGTTGTGGGGATCAGGCAGGGCTTATTTTGGGATATATTCATTAATAGCTCAGATGGCAAAGGAGAAGAAGGAGCTTAGTGAAAAACTCCAAAGTGTCCATGAAGATTAGTGCCAGTCAGTTCTTGCTGTCCTTTCAGAAATATCCTTCTCCATTTCCTGCTTTACAGATCCAATAGCAGAGCTGTGCATGGATTTCCCTAATATCATGCCCTGAAAGGTACCTCCTCCACAACGGGTGTGAAATCCTTAGATGTCCTCACATTTTGATTACTTGCAAAAGTCTCCTTGCATGGTCAGTAGTGTGGTTCAGGTACCCTCTTTAGGACAAATATCATACAGACTGGTGTGAGTCAAAGACACTTTGCCACCAGCGAGCTTCCTGGATCAACAGGGTGTTGGTGGAATTTTTTCTTCCTCAGTGAACTCACTTGTTCCATTTTTGCTGGTGTCCTTGAAAGCCCCTGAAGAGAAGGCAGAATGTACTGGCAATGTGTTTCTCTTTGTCTGTGCTTGCCATGGGTTCTTTACTTACTCTATTCATCTCTGCATGTTTTAACACCTCCTTTTTTACCCTTGCTTTTGGAAAACTATCAGGACTTTCTTGTGTCATCTTGAGTCCTCTTTTTAGCCAGGCAGCATGTATAGTCTTGACTGTGCTTTCTTACAAAGATGTTCTGCTTTCTCTCTTTGGGATTTTCTTTCCCTCTTTCACTGTCATGCCTGTGGTGGGGGTGTTTTTTTATTATTTTATTTTTGTTTTTTGTTTGGTTTTGTGTTTTTGTTTGGTTGGTTTTTGGTTTTTGTTTTGTTTTGTTAGTTTTTTGAGAATTCGTTTTTTGGGGGGAGGGTTGTTTTTGTGTTTTTTTTTTTTTTTTAAGGGGTTGTTTTGGTTTGGGTTCTTTTTTGGTCGTTTTTTGATTTGTTTGGGGTTTTTTGTTTTGGTCAGGGTTTTTTTTAATGGTTGGTTTGGGGGGGTTGTTTTTATTTGTGGTTTTTGTTTGTTTGCTTAATTTTCTGCCTTCATTTTCAAAAGTCATACAAAGAGGAAGATGCTAGCCCTGGGAAAATGCAGACAAACCTATCATGTCTAGGTCTGTTGTCTGGAATAGTGCTCGGGTGCTGTCATTTTTTTTTTTTTTTTTTGAGTGCCTGGCTGGGCTGTGTTTATAATCCAGGCTGGTTTCTGCTGTGTTTTGCATCTGAGTCCAGATAACCACACATTTTCCAAAACATATGGTTTTTGCTTTGCCCACTCCACACGCAAATTCACCTTTGTGAAAGCAAAATTCTGTCACACAAAAATTGATTTTCAAGTAGGGTCAGCTTGTGTGACAGTCTAATATCTGTGTGCTTGCTGTTGATTTCTGGGCATTTTATGCACTTTGTAGCCCCTTTTGCAGGCAAAGTTGTTGGCTACAGGGAGATGCTCTCCAGGACATCTTGAATAAACCTTCACTTTCAGAGTGAACAAGGTTCACAGTCAAAGAAGTGCAGGATAACTAGTCAGTCTCTCCTCTCAAGTTTACTGTAACTGCCGGGAGCCCCTGGTGGTGCAGTGGCTAAAACCGCAGCGGTGTGAACGCTGAGATCCGGGTTCGAGTCCCGGTCAGGGCCCCTCCCCGG